CAGCGTTTCTCAAACTTTCTGTAAGGGAATAGCATTTTTATACATTAGACTATTCTGCTGACCACTTTTCTCTTGCTTCCTTTGAAAGCAATTTTTTAGCATATATAACTACCAGTATACTTATATTTTTAAAATACAATTAATTAAAATTGATGTGATTTTACGTTAATAGTATGTAAGTATGTTAATAGGGAAAAATATGAAAGGTTTCAGATTTTAACGGTCACCTAAAAGGATTTGTTAAGGTTTTTACGCTCTCGCTGAGCTCGCAGTCTGCCAATCTGCTGTTGCACTGACTCCTGCTGCCCCACTTCTTTTTGTCTTTTTTAGCTTTATTATTAAGCATCTTTTTCTTCGCATTTACGCCAATTAAACAGCAAAATCACAAAAAATTTTAACAGGAGCACATGGTTAGAATTCCCAAATGCAGTGTTAAGAATTCTCCTACATTTTTCTATTTTCAGTCTTTGGGAAGTTCATCGTTTCAACGTTCAGTTTTTTTTAGTATGAAGGTTTATGAAACTCTTTTTCTTTTTTTTTAATTAACGTTCTCTGTGTTAACTATATTTTTTATATATCACGTTCTTCGCACTTACACCACATAATATTCAATTCAACAGCAATATCACAAAATACTTAAAAACAGCTTATTTACAAACTTTCCGATAGACAGTCAGTCTCTCGCGTTGGATATAAAAATGTTTCATTGCGTACAGTTTTAGCACTGCTGGTTTTCTAATCGTTGAAATTGTTAATCAAAAATTTATTAAAGCTTTACAAAATATCAAATGCTTAATAAAAAATTAATAAAGCCATTCCATAAAAAGTATTGAATATTTTAATTAGATGGATCATGAATTAAATGCATTTTCATTATTTAAATCAATCCGATTCAAAGGTAAGAAATTAATTTTCTTAAGAACTGCATCTTTTGCTTTCACACAGCTTAGTTTATTAAGCCAGGACGCAAAATCTCATTTCGACGATAACAGTCCTTTTGGGCAAAAAATTTATATCCGTTTTTAATAATTAAGGGCTATTATAGTTTGCATAATCTCTTGTAGAGACATTAGGTATTTTTTTGAAAGCAGACAAGATGAAAAATATGCAACCGCCTTCGCCGGGAATCGAATCACGGACCTCTGGAATACCGGCCCAGCGTGCTACCGTTACACCACGAAGGCACGCTAGGGAAGTGGGAGAAATACCTTATATACTCCCCTTTATAAAGGGCGACTAGGGTTTTAGGGGACCTAGTCGCCGAATCTCGGGTGTGGAGAATCATCATCCACAACCCTTTTTAGTTCGGGCGCCACTGTAGAGACATTAGGTGTATTTTTGGAAGCAGGCAAGATGAAAAATATGCAACCGCCTTCGCCAGGAATCGAACCACGGACTTCTGGAATACCGGCCCAGCGTGCTACCGTTACACCACGAAGGCACGCTAGGGAAGTGGGAGAAATACCTTATACTCTTATCTTATAAACAAAAATTAAACAATTATCGGTACTCGCATTAACGATAAGGATGAACGCGCCGATTCTTTAGTAGCTGCTCTGGTTCAGATACATGCTAGCAAGAAGCACCACAGTCACAGTACTTTTAAACCCTCTTTTGTTGCTAAGACTAGAAAGGAAAATCGACTGGCAAGATAGTTGGTAACAAATTTCATAAAATGTCATCCTTTACACAACACGCAAGCTTCGAGGACCACAGATAGAGAAACGCTGATCTATTTCGTTCTTATTTAGCGATTTTAGTTCAAAAATTTATTCTATGATATTTTAATTATATTAACCGAATTGAAAAAAAATTCTAGTCCGCCAGTTGTTTTCAGATCACGCATGCGGTCCGCACGCAGTTTGTGTTTGTGACAACTGTTTTACACTATTCTATTAAATTTTAGATGTATTTTCTAGAGTTATGTACATTTCTAGAGACATGTAGATAGAGAGATTCTATAACATTTGTCCATTTTTCTGAAGGTTCCATGTACGTAACCTTACATAATGTGCATAAAATCTGCTCATAGAATTCTACTAATTCTAATTTTTGCTTCTGAAGAAAAGGGTCCTATTTCTGTGATCCTCAAAATCGATAAAATTATTCAAAACTTAAGTCAAATTAAGGTTAAATACTTAACTGAAACAAAAACAAGCTGTTTGGCGATGTAATCCCTGACTTGGAGACATTTTTCTGATTCCTGGCAATTTTTATAATCTATTTTGACCCATTTGGCGACTTTAATTCCGTTAAAACATTATTCGATAAAACTTTGATAAAATTAACCGAATTATTCACCACAATAAGCGATGCATTTTCCATGTTTTGGTATACAAACGGGAGGAGTTCGGCAATTCGATAACAATATGCGAATGGTACCATTAACCCCGATTACATTAAGCGGAATAAGCAGATCTTAAGTTTATGCTTAAAGCAAAGGCCGGATGCAAAATAATCTTTAACTTCTCAACGGATGATACAAAGCGGAGATTTAAATGCTATCAAGCACCGATACCTGCACATCTTTTCTTGCAAGTGAGTATTTCGCAAAGACTTTTCAAGGGCGCCTAGAAAGGGAAAACCGTGGAGCATGCAAGTAGTAATGTGTTGCCAATGCATATCTTGGAATAGAAAATAAACAGGTTTGTTGTATCTAAATTACTGAAATCTAAAACCATACAGGAAGTACCATTGCAATCAGTAAAAGAAAACACAAGGAGTAGGTTTATAAGTTGTCTTTCTTATCAATCAATTTTTCTTTGAAGAAAATCTTCGAATTGCACCGAGGTTTTAAGTTTCTGTCATATAGTTTATGTTTATGTCATATATTAATAAAGTTGCATCAGTACATCGAGGGCAGCCATCATATTCATTAAAATCGAACTTTTGTGAAATTAGAATCTGTGATTTTTGTGAAATTAGAATCTCCCCCCCCTCTGAAAACTGGTTCATATGTGCAAAATTAAAAATGATAATTATAATAAAAAAGCAAGTAAGCATAAATCTAATCAATCATTTCTGCAAAACGTTTGCTTTTATTCCTAATTTAATGTTATCTTTAAGTTATTTATGTGCAACTACATGGATTATGATTATGTTGTATACTGAAAACTACTTATACAGAATAATGTTGGATCACTTTTTAAAAATATTGTAGAATGTCAACATGTTGAGGAAAGTTGACTTCTGAAAGAAAATATTTTCACAAGGAATAATTCTGATTAGAGATTCGCCAGATATAACGAGAGAGAATTATCTCATAACAGATATTTTGATGACGATTCTCAAAAGAGATATAATAGAACAATCATACTGCCGTCCAACGGGATAGTAGTTAGTGACTCTGACTATCGTACCGAAGGGCCCGGCTTCCAATCCCAGAGAAGGCATGGATGTTTGTAAATGTACAGTGTCTGTGCGGCATGGGGAATTCTAAATCTGCGGAGAGAGAGCCGAAAGTCCGCTCGAGAGGTTAGTGGTAAGGGAAGAGAGGTGAGACACCTTCGGACTCATCCGCTCGGGGGTGCTCTTCCTCAAAACTGGGGGCGGAACTGAGTTAAAGTCGAGCTGTCACCTATTGGGTGCTCAAGGCTCATGCGAACGACAGGCGCATTTGACCTGGTAGCTTTATGTGCCGTCGCTTTTCTACAATGCGATTAAATTCGGAAGATTTAATGTATTTTTCTCCGCGGCAACACTTTATACCACTGAGTTTTCTAATTAAATGTGAAACATAAAAACCTAATATTTTATCGAGTGGCAACACAAAGCTTGTGTAAAGATATGCCATTGCGATAAGTTATTAGTTGCTATTATTGCTTATCCAACGAAGACTTCATCTGTGGCCGATATATGGCGCCACGCCTGATCAACTTCATCACTACTGAAGACTTTGCACTTTTATTATGTTATGTTATGTAGAAGTGAGGGGGCCCGCTAATATTTACCCTAGTAAGCAAGTAGAGCTACCCAGGTAGATTTACCCCAGGTAAGCAGGTAGATTTACCCTAAGTAAGCAGGTGCACTTTTATTAAAGGTGCACAGGTTTTTTCCATTTTTATGGAATTTAACGAACTTTTACAGGTCCTTAGGGGATTGATAAACATGTAGTGGTAAAGGCCTTCGGGTGGAACACCACTTAACGAATGATGATCTCCGAGATTTTAATCAAAAGTTTGTTAAATTCACACAAAATACGAGTAAGAAAGAAATAAAACACAAATACGAAGTTCAATATTCTGTTTTCAAGGCGCAGGTGTTCGGGTGGAAGACTACGTGTCTTCTAAACTTGGTGACCCTAAATGTTGTCTTCTTTCAGCTATGTGATTAAACTCGAAAGATAAAGATATTGCATTTTGCCGAGTGGCAACACACTACTTTTTTATCGCTGAGTTTTCTGATTAAATTTGAAATATAAATATCTTATGCTTTGCATAATGGCAATACGAAGCGATTAAACTGCTGAGTTTTTGCTAAAATTCGCATAAAATAGGAAATAAAGAAAAAAAAAAAATAAATTCGAAATTCCATATTCTGGCTTAGAAACTACGAGTGTTCAAAATCTAGTTGTAGATGAATTCATTATTCTACGATGCGAAGAATATACAAACATACATACAGATTATTCCATTACTTTTAACAGTAGTTATATAAATACAGTATATTGCAGCTTCAGCTCCATCAAATCCACCAGTTCATCAACCTTATTAATACACTAATCAGAACAAAGAAAACTAATCACACGACAGTTGCGAAGAGGCTATTTTCAGTGCTGAAAAAAAATGAAAGAAGATGTACGTGTGAATAAGAATTATCTGTAGTAGCAATATTCTTCAAAATAATAGAGCGATTTACTGTCAAATCAACAAAGGCTATGTCTTGAAGTCTGAAAACTTGACGTTCCATTTCTAATGGAAACTTTTTTGAAAAAAGATCAAAGAATTTTAATACAAAACTAATCCTAGTCTTAAGAAACAGTTAAGAATTTATATACTTACAACGTTATCGTCTCCATCCATTGGGGATTCAGGCAGGCTTTAATGGTTTTAGTTTTTTTCTTTTGTGAACTACGATTTTCAGGAATGAGTTTGAGTTTCACATAAGGATCAGAAAGACCGTTGGGATCCATAGGAATCAGATTTTTTGCTTGTCGCACTGAAAAAGACATAAAAAAATAGGTAAACTTGAAATTTCCTCCATGTTCACAACTTTTAAAGACACTATTACTTCACAATTAATTATAATGATGTAGCATCGCAATAAGTGATATAGTTCTCAGTAACATAAATTTCAGAATAAGGAAAGAAAGAAAATTTGATAAGATTAATATTTTAACGTCGCATCAAAGGATTTGTTAAGGCTTTCTACACTCTCGGGCACATCCCGGGTTACCAATCTGCCCTTGCACTCACTCCTGCTAACACAATTCTTTTGTCTTCTTACATTTATTATTAAGCACCGCTTTCTTCGCATTGACGTTACTTAAAACGGAGCAACAAAAACACAAAATATTTAAAAACAGCATATCTTTAGAATTTCTGATAAACAGTCTCGCCCGCTGGAGATAAAAATATTTTATTCTGTACAGTGTTGCCTCTGCTCGCTTTGAAATCGTTGAATTTCTTAATTAAAATTAGTTAAAGTTTCATAAAATATGAAATATAATAATTAAAAAATATATTACATAAAAATATATTACATCATATACTTGATATTTTAATTAGATAGATTATAAGGTTCCAACCTTTAATTTACAGCTAAGTGTGTGGAACCAGGAGAACTGGTAAGCGAATAATCGCTTTAGCTCAGGAAAGAGAAACGTAAACTCAAGAAGGGTTAATTACCCTTTATTGCTCAAAATAAGGTTTTACAGATGGCCCTTTCTCAGGACGTAAAGAAAAGCCTCCACTTGGGCTTGAACTCAAGAATACTAAAAAATCAAACTTAACTAAAATAATATAGAAGGTATCAAAATTCTACAGAAGGTGGCCCCTAAATGGTAACTAAACGGCGAAACTATCAAGGATCTGAAATACGACCGAGCGTAGTAATAGCTTAGAGAGAGTGTAGCCAAAAGGCGAAAGCGTGCCAGTCAGAAGCTCTGGCTCTCTAAAGAAGTTGGTGAAACTTCCACTTAAGTACTGCTCTTCCTTCATTTGCATTTAATCGCGATTCTAAAAACACACTCTGGCCGGAAATTCGTAAGTTGAAATTAGAAGAGATACGAAAGTAACTTTTAACTACAGAGAACTGTTAAAAATTTAAAATAAACCTTACAAGATCATGAATTAAATGCATTTTTATCATTTAAATCAATTACAAGAAACGAATATTCTTAAGAACTCCATCTATTGCTTTCAAATTCCTCAGTTTTTTAATCCACAACAGAAAGATTATGTTAAAAGATAAATGTCTTACATTTTCCTCAATGGGAACAAATTCGAATAAAAAGTTACACGACGCATTTATAGTGATTAGACGCAAAATCCTGCTTCAAGATAAAAAGCTCATTTTGGGCTAATAATAACATTATAAAGGTAAAAAACTCTGATGTAGACACCACATGACATTCTTGCACGGCGTGTTAAAAATTATACACACTTTTTGTTGCACTTCATTTAAGCTTATTTGCTCGAATTTCATTACAAATATACTTCTCATTCAATCAATTCAGTTCTCATTTCGCGGCAACACGAAAATACATAAATGCTTGAAATATTTTCATTTAAAATTGTAAAATAATAATAATAATAATAATAAATATAAATAAATAAAAAAAGAAATCAAAAATAGTTTAAAAAACATTTTACAATTAGAGTTTTTACGGGAAAACAGGCAATTCGGTCAACAGATAGGAAGGCAAATATTTCGGCTCACAAAACTGAAAGTTAACTTTCTGTCTCACAGACAAAGACAACGAAATTGGTGCACTAAGTGATTTAATTAGCTGCTCCATTAACAGTCTCAAACGTAAACATATAACGGTCACGTTAGGCCTAGCGTCTTTTAAAATTTTGAAATTGTTAATAACTACATCTACTGCATGCAGATTAAGATATGATAAAATATATATAACAGTAAATTATATTTTAAATTAGCACACCTAAATAGCCCTTACAGTTCTTAGCCAATTAAATTAAAGGGAAAAAATACTATAAATACCACTGCTAGTTCTGAATTTCACTTCGTTTGGGTCTTCGCGGAATTGGTTCTAAATTTCTTAATTTTTTGTCTCTCTCTATATATTGTTGCGTGCGTACGGGTTCGTTATGAGTTGAATGCACAAGTTCGATGAAAAACGGACAAAATTTATTATTATCACAACAATAAATGCTTAACTTTCCTCAGATATTCTTTCAGTATTACAATATCTCACAGTAGTTATCTTTTAACTACTCAAACGTTCAACAGAATTTAATTCAAAACAGCTAAAGAAAGCTAATCCGAGAATTCGCTACAATCAACAACAGCAATTTTCTAAACAAACTCTTAAAACAACAACAAAAAAACTAATAATAATGCAAAGGCCAATGAGGAAAAATTTCGAAGTCCCTATGGTAATCAAACTATTTACCTCCACGTCAGAAGAGTACTGATGAGTAGGGCGAGGGAAACCAGAAAAGAGGGAGGGAGGAGAGGACGAAACCTACATGGCTGGTGAGTTCATGGTACAACATGAGATCCTCATTCCAAGACGGTGAGTGTTGAGAGAAATCACAGCTGAGCAAAAAAGAGGATGAAGAATCATTGGAAATGTCAAATCTGAGAAGAATAAGGGTGGTAGGATGAAAGAGAAGAAAAAGAGCAGGTAACGTATTGGAGTGGTGCTGGTGACAGGAAAAGTTCGAGTTCTAAGATCATCTCCTGTAGCGCCATCTATCTGCGTGAATGGAAGCTTGCCGGAAAGTCGAAATTAGGGTTAGCTGATCAGTGATGGCGTCGCCATCTAGTGGTGGTGTCTGCAGAGATTAATCTTCTTCAGCAAATCTGATTATTGTCATCGCTGCTTGGAAACCAAATCTAAGTTTATCGGAGGCTGACTTTGCTTTCTTGATCTTTTGGATAAGAGAAATTACAGTTTTTAAAAAGTTCATGATTTTTCCATCTTGCATTCAGGTGAGGGCTTCATTAAAATCTTCAGGTGGTGGTTTAATTTTACTTCTGATTTTATCACTGTAGGAAATTCCTGGAAGGGATTGTTGAACTGCGTTCATCTCTTTGGTTGAAATACCAGGAATTTTCAGTACTGAGTTCAGGAACTTTCTACATTGGGAGTCTGTTTTTTCTGCTCTGCGGGCTGTCTCTTTTGCTCAAATCTTTTTTTGTAGGCGCTACACCCACGGTTGCTGCTGACATGGTCGGATCCGCAAGAAATACACTTTGGCTTTTCTTCTTTTTTGAGGGTACACTGGTTGGTTCGGTGCTGTTCGCCGTACTCAGCATCTTAGAGGTTTATTGTAGCAGACTTGTGAGTGTCCGAATTCCTGACATCGGTATTGGGTGTTTTCTAGGCGAGAACTTCTCGATGTTAACATTGAAGCTGAATATTCTGTTTACCTGATGGATAGCATGTCCTTCTGCATTTTTCTTTAATTCTAATAGGTAAATGGGTAGTTTCTCAACATTTCTTTGACGTCTACGAGTAAATTGCCTGACGTTTATTATTGGAAACTTACGTCTCGCAAGTTCGTTGAGTATGATTTCTTCCTTTACCGAGGCTGCGATTTCCTTAAGGATTGATTACACGTAGCGGCTTTTCGCTTTCTAGGAGAAAAGAGTGGAACGATATGCTCTTGTCCACAAGTATTTTACACATTTTTCTATAATCCGTAGAATGTTTTGTGTAGATAAAGATTTTTTTGCCTTCAAAGTTGATTCGGAACTCATCGGAAGAGTTTTCCTGGAAAATTTCATCAATTTCCAACCCGTCTCCGTCATCATGAGCTATAACAATGGGGGGGGGGTAGGCATTTCTTCGTAGTTAGCTCCTCCTTCATTCTCTCTTGGTTGCTCTGCAAGGGTTTGGAAACTATTTTGATGTGGAATATCCATAGGTTTGGGCTCTTCTGGGATTTTAGCAACTTTTTTAGGCTTGATCCATTCATTCTCTGGGTTTTGTTCCGTCTGTTGATTTTCTGGATTATTTTCAGTTGAGGGGTTGTCAGTACGAATTCGTTTTCTCATGGTTTCCGTCGGTGACATCTTGGGTGGATTGAATCCGATCGATCTGAGTTTTTCCATAAAATTATCCACTTCTTGTTGCAGTATCATGTTCCTCAGAAATTGTTCGGTTTCCTGATTTGTCTCAACCTGGTAAAGGTCAGCCTTATTTCCGAATTCGTTGTCTGATACATCAGTCGCAAGTGCATTAGATGCAACAGCTTCAGTTTTGTTCTTTGTATACTTCTTTGCTTTAACTTTCTTAACGGGTTTGGGGGCTCGAAAAAGTTCTTGAGTCTCTTTAGAAATACCTGCTAGTAATCCGATACCAAAAGAAACATCCGATTCCGCGCTGCCCTCCTGTAAGTCCGATCGTCCACTAAAAGAGTAACTCATAGTGATACCCGAGAGTAGCACTGAGCTAAGGAAATTCTAACAAAATTCGATTTCAATATGAATCCGCTATTTGCAAAATGGCAAAACTAGCTAAATCAACAACAATGAATGTTGACTAATAATAATTTGATCTTTTATCTTTGATCGTATCTTTATTTCTGGCCTCAACCTCCAAGGGTTTTTACCAGTATCATGAACATTACAACCATTATACATTTACTAGGTTTAAAATTAATAAAGATGTACATTAGTACATCAGCACACAGGGGCGAAAGTCAAACAAAATGAAAGTTCATGAGTTTCATTTTGTTTGACTTTCGCTCCTGTGTGCCCCTGTGTACGAAGGATGTTCTGCGTCTTGCGCTATGCTGGCTGGCGTGAAGGCAGTCAGAGGAGAGTCATGTGATCTTGAGAAGGCACCTGGTTGATTAGCTTCGAAGTAAGCAAAGTTCGTTAAAAGTTAATAATAATTGAAAGGTTTTCCTCCTTTTTATAAGATTTTAAACCGCGCGCGAGAATTTTCTGGAACGTTCTCGAAATCAAAAAGAGATATTTATTTATTTATTAAATGTTAAATGCACGTGCTCTTGTATTTTAAA